AAGTTGTCCATAGCTGTTTGCACCCTTCAAATACACACAGAATACCAACACTTTTTAAAAAAAAAAAAGCAACAAAGAGATACGTATCTGTTCCTAAGAGCAAACAAGCTTGTCAGGAACATGTCACATGTTAACCTACAAATATTTGCTCTGGAATATTCCATAAAATTGCAATATTTGTTCTTACTGCTGTCCATAGCTGTTTGCACCCTTCAAATACACACAGAATACCAACACTTTTTTAAAAAAAAAAGCAACAAAGAGATACGTATCTGTTCCTAAGAGCAAACAAGCTTGTCAGGAACATGTCACATGTTAACCTACAAATATTTGCTCTGGAATATTCCATAAAATTGCAATATTTGTTCTTACTGCTGTCACACAGGGCTGCCGGAATTACAGACCAAGGCTGTCCTAAACTTGCTGTCATTAAGGCTGCCCCTGCAACCCCAGTACTTTAAGACACATACTGGAATATGTCTGGCATGCTAGCAGCATGCTAACAGTTACCAAGGAGGAAAGCCTCATTATCAGGATGATTACTGCCTGTTTAATTGTAATGCTAATGATTCCCACTCATCACTAAGACCTTATCAAAACCAGTGCCTTATGTTTTTTCATTCTCCAAAACCATACAAAAGAGACATGCTACCTTATTTTGGAACATAAACAGGCAATGCAGAAACACTTATCCCTCAATAACCAAGTCTTTATAATTTAAAAGTGGTCAAAATTGATATATGCCAATTATAATCATTATAAATTTATAAGTACAACATTGTAGCCACTAAACCAATCACAGAAAGTAACCGCTTTGAATGTGGCAAGATGTCAAGAAATGTCTGAGCCAATTTCAGGTGTACTAAAAGCCCCACACTGAACAGCAACCTTCCTTCACCACGGCAGATTCAGCCACTTTCCCTGCCCACGCTAACAGGACCCACGCTGCCCCCGGGGGTTTCTCTCCCCACCCCCCCTGGGCTCTCCTGCCTGTCGCTCCCTGCTTGTCTGACCCCCCCAGGCAGCACCTGCTGTATCTTTAACGGGTGCATTTACCAATTAACATCTCGCACCTACAGGAACAATGACTTTTCAGACAGGCTACTCACCTCAGCCCACAGTTAGCAGGCAGACGAGGTGTCAAGGCAGATCAGGTTGTTTTCTCACAGCCACTACTACCGGCAGACGGTTTTGGAGCGCGTTACCACTTAACAGACATGACTCTTTCCGTGAGGCTTGTCACAAGCCTTGTCACAAGCCAATCCCAGCTGACAGCCCGCAGTGACTGCTCAGGCCGCAGGCCAGGCAGGCCGCGCCGCGCGCAGGAGGCACCCGCGCCTCAGGGACACGCGCCACGCGAGTCAACACGACGTGTGTC